CATAACTTATGCAGAATTGCTCAAAGCTATTCTTCTACAAAACATAAATTGTCTGGAATTAGACACAAAATTAGTGACATTGTTCCCACATTAAATGTTAATATATTCAGCTTCTAAAGGATACATAATGACTGTGAAGCAAGCAATCTTAATTAAGTAAAGCAACGAAGGTAAAAGAAATATAGAGGAAAAAGGTTGAAGTTCACTTGCAGTGATAAATCTAATATAAGTGAAGAAACAAAGGTGCAACATAGGTGTTCCAAATTGGTTCACTGTCCACAACTGCACACTTCCACCACAAAAAAAAAAAAACATTTATGTAAGTGACATGTAGAGGTGGCCACGGGCCGGTTTTGGCCCGGAACCGGACCGGAACCGGCCCGGTCAAACCCGGGCCCGGCCCGTTGACCGGGCCCGCGGTTCGGAACTGGAACCGGTCCGTGGCATACGGTCTCGGTTCTGGTTCCAGAAAAATTTGAACCGGCCCGGAACCGGCGGTTCCGGCCAGTTCAAAAAAAAATTTAAAAAATTTAAAAAAATTAAAAAAATTAAAAAAAGCTGCAGGCTACAAGACACGGCTGCGAGCCATCTTGCGTGGCTCGGCAGGCAGCAGAGGAGAACGGGAGGCCAACGGCCAACCAAAAAAAAAAAAAAAAAAATTTGTTTATCGCGAGCGGGGCTCGCACGCTCGCGAGCCTGCTGCGCGCAGCAGCCCGAGCACCTTGCGGCTGCGGCCCGTTGGGGCAACAGCTACGCCCCAACGGGCGTTTTTATAATAAAAAAAAAAAACACATAACCGTTGCAAAATTGCAACGGTTATGTTTTATTTTTTTTAATTCTAAATTTTCTTCTATTTTTTTTCTATAAATTCTCTCAAATTCTCACAATACACACACAATTCTCTCAAATTCTCACAAATTCTCTTCTCTCAAGTCTCAAATTTTCTCAATACTCGAAATTCTCTCAAATTCTCTGAAATTCTCTCAATTTTCTCAATCCACGCAATTCTTTCTTAATTCTCCCAATTAATCCGCTCAATTCTCTCAATCCATTCGAAAAATGGCAAGTGGAAGTCGAGTGCCAACTGGCAAAGGTAAGAATATCGCGACGAAATCCCATCATTCTTTTGATCCTCGTGAATATGCAAATTTTCAAGATGATGAAATCAACATTTTTCACGATGTGGAGCGCGTCCCGACGCAAGAAAGTTTTCATCCTCCTGCTGAAATATCTACAACAAAGGAAGCGGAACGGGAATTTACATCCGATATTTGGAATCACTTCACGAAAATGGAAAGGTTTGATATCGGTCAAAAAAGGTATGATATAATTTGTAAATATTGTGGAAAAATATATAAATATACAGGTGGACAAGGATATGGAACATTTAAACGACATCTTATGAGCAAACATCCAACCGAAACGGGAATCGATATCGGGCAACAACAAATTTCCGGGTACGTCAATCCTAACACTTCCCCTTTATTTCGTTTTAATGAAAAAACTTATAAGGAAGAATTAGGCAAATTTATTTCCGTTGAGCATTTAGCATTTAATTTTGGAGAAAGATTTGGTTTTAATGAATTTGTACAAAAAGCATGTGCTCCACAAGCAAAACGTGTTTCTAGAAATACAACTAAACGAGTAATTAAAGATCTTTACAAAAATGGAAAAAATGATTTACAAAATTTTTTTATGCAATTTAATGGATGCGTGCATATAGGTAGTGATATTTGGAGTGATCATTGGCAAAATCATTCTTACATGGGCATAACATGTCATTGGATAGATGACGAGTGGACTATTCAAAAAGGAGTTATTGCATTTAGAGTTTTCAATGATCATCATACGGCAAATAATATTTATAGACTAATTAGGCAAGTTTTAGAAGAATATTATTTGCTTAACAAAATTTTTTCAATTGGTTTTGATAATGCCGCAGCAAATACCGCTTCAATTGCCGAGTTAGAAAATATTTGTAAACCTGCTTTTGGCGGAAAAAATTTTCACATTAGATGTGCTTGTCGTGTTTTAAATTTATGTGTACAAGATGGTTTGAAAACTCTTGATATTTTTCTTCAACCAATAAAAACGGCGATTCAATTTTTATGGAAACATCCCAAAAAAATGAAAGAATGGGGTAGATTTTGTAGAGATAATGGCAAAAAGCCAAAAAGATTTCCAAGAGATGTTCCAACTCGTTGGAATTCTACTTTCCACTTGCTTAGTGAATCTTTAGCATATAAAGATTTATTATGTGCATTCATTTATAATAATATACCTGAGATTAATTTATACCCACAGGAGTGGCATATTTGCCAAAAAATTTTAGATCTTTTAAAGGTTTTTAATGATGCAACTTATACTTTGTCTGGTGTTTATTATCCTACTACACATTTATTTTTAGTAGAGTGTACTAATATTGTCGGAACTTTTGATGAATATGAAAATGATGTTGAATTACAACATACTATAGTTGCAATGAAAATGAAATGGCTTCATTATTATAGTGAAATTCCCATGATTTATTTAGTTGCTTGTGTTTTTGATTCGCGTTGCAAATTGAATGGCTTAAATGATTTTTTGCGTGCGTATTATCAATGTTTACATTATGATGTGACAAATGTTACAACCATAGTACGTGAGGTTAAAAACGTAGTAATAGAATTATATAATGAATTTTATACTAAATATAATTTAGGTGATATTAGATCTTCTCAATCTACGGAGATACAAAATGACAAGATACGAGGTAAAATTAGTAGAGGGTACCAACTTTTATTACATAGACAAAAAAACAAAAGGGAGTAATAGGAAATATTTCTGAATTAGAGAGTTATCTAACCATTTTATTTGAATTTACTGAAGCCGAAGGTGGTACAGATTTTTTTATTTTGGATTGGTGGAAGAGGCACGCAAGCCAATACCCAATCCTTTCTCTTATTGCAAAACAGATTTTTTCAACCCCTTGTTCCACGATTGCGGTCGAACAAGCATTCGATCTGGAGGTAATATTTTGAACGAACATCGTTCAAGATTATATCCGAATCGGTGGAGATGCAAGCTTGTGTTCTTGATTGACGAAGGCTCAATACCGGCAACAAGAGATAGATCGAATAATGAATTCAAATTTTTTAACGACGGAGATACTACCGCTACCACTATCGGTCTTGGAACGGGTAGTGACGATTGAGGGTAAAAGAACTATTGGAGTTGGCAAATATTTCGGGAACTCTTGTTTCTCATACCGGGTACGCCCACGTGAGCTTAGGGAAACCGAAATATAATCCGACGATATGTGACCTCTGGTCCCCTGCACACGGAATGCTTAGGTTTTGGGATAATTTTAGGGTATATATATTGTACTCTTTTTTTTTTAAGATCGTTGTAACGAATTGTAATGTGCTTAATGATAATTTATTAAGTTGAAGCCCTCTCTTTCTCTCTTGTCTTTTTGTCCCCAAATTTGAGTACAATTTACATTTTAATCACAATTTATATTAAATAATGTTCTATCACAAGAATAGTATTTTTTTAATTTTTTTTTTTCATTTATGTTTTTCCTTTTCTGTTTTTCTTCTTTTTCTTTTCCTTTTCCTTTTCTGTTTTTCCTTTTTCTCTTTTGTCTTTTTTCCATGTTTCTGTTTTTTAAAATTATAATTTATATTTTAATTTTTTTTTTTTTCTTCCTCCGCGCGCCGGCCGCCATGGCCGGGGCTTGGCCAGCGGAGGTCGCCGGCGCCGGGCGAGGGGGCCCTCGCCCGGCGGCGGGGGCGGCCCTCGCTCGGGCCGGGCGAGGCCGCCCGCCCGACGCCGGCGAGGCGAGGCTCGACCTCGCCGGCGTCGGGCAAGGCCACCCTCACTGGGGCCGGGCGAGGCCGGGCCTCGCTCGACGCCGGCAAGGCTCGGCCCGCCCGCAACCGGTAAGGCCCGACCTCGCCTGGCGTCGGGCGAGGCCGGCCCTCCCGGCGAGTGGCGAGGCTCGACCTCGCCCGGCTCGGCGAGGCCGGCCTTGCCCGGCCCAAAGTGCGAGGGCCGGCCTCGCCCGACGCCGGCGAGGGCCGCCGCCTAGGGCGGCGACCTGGCCGGCCCGGCTCATGGCCGGCCGCGGAGGAAGAAAAAAAAAAGAAAAGGAAAAGGAAAAGAAAAAAAACAGAAAAAAATAGGAACCGGACGGTTCCGGTTCACACTTGGCCACGAACCGGAACCGCCGGTTCCGAACCGGAACCGGTCGGTTCCGAACCGTGGCCACCTCTAGTGACATGAACAAAATAAAGAATGATATTGGATGCTATTTATCTTTTAGCTATCACAAAATACCGGACAACGCTGCACACTTCCACCTCAAGCAGCATAACGAAGTGGAGTGCTTCTAGCATCTACAACATGCAAAGAACAATACACATGACTTTCCACAAATGCATGATTCTAAGCAGGTATCACTGCATTCAAATAATCAATCATTTTGAATGAAGCCATAATTCTCCTACAGGGTATTTTGAAAATTCCCCCAGAAAAGGATGCATAGTTTCTACAATAAAGCATGATCTACCACCCAACCAAAAAAGGTTAGAATGCCAAACAGAATTGTACCTTGGCTTCATAATCTAAATACTCCTCCTCGAGATGTTTCCTGGGGTGAACTACTTTAGACTCCTCATTTCCCACGCTAGAAATGACCTCAGAACTGTAGTATCCAAAGGCAGATTACATACTTGACCCAAAATAGGCGGAGCAGATAATGAAACGAGCCAAAATATGTCATAAAGATCTTGTTATGCCAAAATCGAATTACCCTTCACTCAAGTTCTTTAAGTTCTCCACAAATTTTCCAATACGGCTTTATAGCAGGTCCCAGCTCTTTTTGCAAATCATAACAAATTTGTCAGAAAGGATAACTACAAGTTTGTGGATGAGAAGAGAATGCACAGATAGATTAAGCTCCTTCAAGAAGAAAGGAAAACAAAAGCTCCTATAAGATCCTGCTTAGATAACGGCACTTAGAAAATCACAACATATAGAGTACCTTGTAAGTGGAAAGGAGCTGAACAGCCAAGTTCACAAAATAGTCCTCGTGTCTCTCCAATTCATCACTATGAGTAACAGTCGAAAACCAAAAATATCCCATGTAAAGATGGATATATGCGATAAGATAGCAATATCGCACTTTTTAATTCTGCTAATAAACCCTCAAGTTGGGAACAAAAGAACACAAAGAACCTAATTGACAGAGAGAGAGAATCTGAAGTCCATACCTGACCTGCTTCTACCTCACTTCTGCATATGAACATTGGAGAACCCAAGTATCTTCCAGAAAATTAATCCACGTACTGAGAACCTCAGCTTCAACCTTACATGATGTGATGGTTTTTGACAGCTCATCTTCCTAAAATATAATCACCAGAAAGTCAAAAGGGAGTTCAATAATAATTGAGGAAACTCGACAATCAAATCAAACAACATAGCCTAAACCTTAGTTTTTAAGTGCACAACAATTTGATTGTTTGCTTCATCAAATTGGTCTCTCTCTTCCACAATATTGCGAAGGCGAGCTTGAGCAGCAGCCAAGGAGTTATTAACCTACAAATATGCTAGTTATCAAAGTATCCAATAAACGAAAAAAGAAAGCACAGTAATTACAGAGTTACAAGAGAATGAATAAATTCACAGACTGATTAGATGGAGTTGACCAGAATCTAAAGCAAGTAAAATTTCAGTCTTCCACTATAAGTACATTAATTCAGTTCGAAAACAGCAGTTGCCATTTTCCACATCTTTTCTCTGAAAGTAGAATAAATCTAGGAACAAACCGAACATCTTTTTTTAGTCATGCAAAGGAATCATGTATCAAGCAAAGTCCATTTATCTCCCCTTGAGCTTATGCTGATTAAGTTGTCAAAAGGTACTTGCACAGCAGATCATGAAATAAGGGCCTCTCTAGTAGAAATAGGTGTGCAATCAGAAGTAGAAATAACATCCACACAGCTCATTATACAAGCAGGACCATTATCAGCAGACATGGTTGTGTCTTGGACTTCATTGATGCAACTTTTTGTGAATAGGCAATATCATAACACCACAATAACCATCAATCCAACTCATATTGCACAATTACAATGAAAGCGAGTTCGTCCTTGTCCAGTCAAATTGAAGACGTCAAGATATTTTACAAGATGATCACAGATTGCCCAAATAGAACTTCCCAAATCCCAACTAATTTTGAATTCGCTGCTATGAACAGTCAGTACCCAGTAGTCCCAAGAAGAATAGCATTTTTGGGACCCAATGAACGAACCACCTGAGAAGCCACCACGGAGAAGAATATGAAGGACACGTACAGTATCCCAAGCGAGGTCGTGCCCAAATTATCTGCCTACAACAAAAATCAAGAAACTCATCAAACCAAAACGCAACGTCAAACGAACCAAAAAAACATTCCTACAAGCAACCTCAGACCCAGAAGGGCAAAATCTGCCTCTGGGTTTTCATCTCACGACCGTCAATTTCTTCTCTCGATTTACCCAAAATTCCAACGAAATCGACTCGGAAAACTCACGATGTTCACGGTGCTCTCGAGATTCTGAGCAGCACCGTAGGCCGAGAAGATGAGCAGGAACCCACAACTCAGGATATGGACATCACGGGCATGGCCTCTCGGAGGCGACGCAGCCGGCGGGGCCTCGGCGGCGACCAGCAGAGCCTCCTCGTCGGAAGCCTCGGCCTCCTCCTCCGGAGCGGCGGTCTCTCGGTCCTCTTGCTCCGCCTCCTCCACCTCTAATTTCTCGGGGAGCTCCTCCTTGCCCTTGACGGGGGGAGGAGCCGCCGCCCCTTCGGGTTTTGCGGCCTCTAGGGCTCCGGAGGCCATGGCGAGGAGTCGCCGGAGGAAGCGCAGGGGGGAAGGGGTACCGAAAACCCTTAGCGAGCGCGAGAGGTTTAGGGGTGTGGGGGAGAGGGAAGAAGCAGAAGCGAGAAGCGGAAGCAGGGGGTGAGGGGATCTGAGGAACAGCAGAGAGAGACAAAGAGAGAAAATGGGGGTGAGGGCGGGAAAATTGGGGTTGCGACGGATTTAAAAAATTCCGCCCCAAATTTGTGATGAATTTATTTTTCGATCGTAAATTTTTGCGATGGATTTTGTTTCCGTTGTAAATTTGCGACGGATTTTTTTTTCCGTCGCAAATTTTTGCAATTTTTCCGTCTAAAATTTTTGCGATGGTTTTTTTTTTCTGTCGCAAATTAGCGATGGATTTTGTTTCCGTCGCTAATTAGCGACGGATTTAGCGACGGCCTTTTAAAAAAGAGTTAAAAAAATTCAAATTTTTACAAAAAAAATATAAAAAAGAGAAATAAAAAATAATTAAGAAATTCGACTTTTTTAAATAAAAATATTTAAAAATTCTTTTATTTTTTTTTATCTAAAATAAAGTCATGAGATTGAAATAATTTTCTAATGAAATCCAAACATCAGAAAACGATTTCCATCGTATATCACCATACAAATGAAAATTAAGCATATTCATGGAAAATAATTTTTCGAAAAACACTTTCCTTTATCATTAAGTTTTCCGCAAAACAAACGTACCCTTAGAGTGATTACCAACTTCTCCTCTATCAAGTTTACCATATTGCATTACCAACTCCTAATTGAGTTACTTACCAATGTTTATTTTCATTTTTTTTCTACACCAACTTCTCTAATCTCTAACCAAACAAAGCTTCTGTCATTGTTTACGAACTTTTATTTATATTTCTTACCAATAAGTTAAATTTATCGAGTATTATATGAAACTATCAGCCTAGCTTTCTTTGCGTGATTTGGGTAAATTTTCTCCAATCAAATCAATTAGTTTTGGATTACCAAATCTCATTTGAGTTATTAGCATTTATTTGTTATTTTCTCAAATTTACTAGTTTTTATTAAGTTGCTACTTTTATTTGCATTGGTTTCCAACTTTTTAAATTTACTGGCTCTTTTAGAAATTACTAACTTTTATTAGAGTGATTACCAACTTTTTTCGATCAAGTTACTGACTAGTTTTATGTTACCTTCTTTTATTTGAGTTACTTATTAATGTTTATTTGGTTTTCTATTTTGAAATGACCGATTTTTCTTATCTCTAACAAAAATACATTTCTAATTTTCTACCAGCTTTGAATTTACCTTCTATTACATGAAATTATCAACTTTTTTGTGTGCCTCATTAACTTTTGCCCAATTAAGTTACCAATTAGTTTTGGATTGTCAACTCTAATTTGAGTTGCTTACCCATTTGGTTTTTTAACTTACCAATTTTTATATTGAGTTATGCTTCTTTTTGCATGGCTTACTAATCCCATTTTACGATTTAATACCAATTAATTTTCTATTACTAACTATTATTTTACTTAATTACTAACATTTATTTGATTTTTTCGCCGCTAAATCTGTCACTAATTAGCGACAAAATTTTTTTCCGTGGCTAATTTTCCATGGCTAAATCCTTTTTTTGACTGTTTTTCGTAGCAAATTAGCGACGAATTTTTTTTCCGTCGCTAATTTGCGACGAATTTTATTCCGTCGCAAATTTGCATCCGATTTTATTTCCGGCGCAAATTTGCGACGGATTTTTTTTGTCGCAAATTTATTTTGCGACGGATTTATTATTCCGTCGCAAATTTGCGACGGATTTATTTTCCGTCACAAATTTGCGACGAACTTTTTTTTCGTGGCAAATTCCATCGCAAATTAGCGACGAATAATTTTCATCGCTAATTTGCAACGGAAAAAAAAATCCGTCGCAAATTAGCGACGAAAAATTTCCGTCGTAAATTTTCGTGGCAAAATTCATGTTTTTTTGTAGTGCTACGTGACTGGTGAGTTTTGATCAGCCTCTAATTCATGCCGATTGCAAGCTACTGATTAATTTGTCACTGCAGGCTGGGACCTGTTGGATGTCCGTTGGCTGTTGCAAAGGGCTTTACATGCAATTTTCAGCAATAAATGGGTTTGGTATCTAGATCATTTAGGTGTGCCTTTTCTTGCCAATTCTACTGAAAGTGGATTCATTGTCTCACAGACTGTGGGGATGAAATTTATATTCTGCTTTATGTGGAATCTCTTTCTCTCTCTCTCTCTGGAGAAGATGCACAGTCCTCTCTTTTCACGGTGAACAAACATATATTGTTTGCAATCAGTGTTTAGAAATGGAACATAAGAACACCTTCTGGCACGTGAGAATGGCTTTTCTAGGGCATGGAACTCGAGGCTCTGCAAACCTCAGTTTGCCGGTTCATGCCTTATCTTCTTCTCTTCATGGGTGGTCTTAAGCTTCTCTTATCTCAAAAGCTAGCTAAAAAAGTAAAGCTTTCTCTCACACTTATAAATTGACCACCTGCCCCTTCCACAACTGATGTAGGATAATCTCAATAATCTTCCCCTCAATCAACATTGGTATTAGAGCCAAGATTGCCGACAAGTCTAGACCCAATAGTCACACAGGGGGAAAATTATCAAAATAGTCCTAAACCTATTGCAATTTTGCCAATTCAGTGCTAAACCTTTTATATTTGTGCCAATTTAATCCATCCAACTAAATTTGGCCAACCGGCGCTAACGTAAACGCCGGCCGACTCTGACGTGGTAATTTTTAAATATATTTTTCCAATTGTTTTTTCCATCTTCTTCCTGGTTGGTCCGGCGACGATTGGCCAGGGGATAAGGCTGGCGAGGTTCGACCTTATTGGCGCTAAGCAAGGGTGAGCCTCGCCATGGCCAGGCGAGCTCCACCTTGCCCACCATTTTACATTGATGTCAATTCAATCCTAAACATTTTGTATTGGTGCCAATTTAGTCCTAAACCTTTTTGTCTTTATGCCAATTCAGTCCTTCCGATCAATTTTGATCGAATTTTGCTGACATGGATGGCGGCCGATCACCGGCGCTGACGTGGATAACTTTTAATAATATTTTTATTATTTTTTGAATATTTATTTATTTATTTATTCTTTTCTTTTCTTTTTTCCCTCCTTCCTTCCTCTAGCCAGTCGCCAGACTGGCAACCAGCCAGAGGCCAGAGCTCGCCGGCCACTAGCACGACCTCTTTGGCCACTGGCTAGGCCCGACCTCGTCGGATCTGACGAGGTCATGCTGGCGGTTAGGTGAGGCTCGCCTTTACCGTCGCTGGTGAGGGCAAGCCTTACCAGTAGCCGACAAGGTCATGCCAGTGGCCGGTGAGGGAGGTCCTCGCCGGCCTCTGGCCTTTGGCCAGTCGCCGGTCTAGCAATCGGCTGGAGGAAGGAGGGAGGGGAGGGAAAAAAAAATTAAATTATTATTAAATATTGTCCACGTCAGCGCCGGTGATCGGCCGCCGGTCAGCCATCGTCCACGTCAGCAAAATCCACTCAAAATTGACCGGAATGACTAAATTGGCATAAAAACAAAAAAAAGGTTTAGGACTGAATTAGCACCATTACAAAAGGTTTAGGACTGAATTGGCATCAAAAAAGGGTTTAGTACTAAATTGGCACCAATGCAAAAGGTTTAAGATTGAATTGGCACAAAAAAAAGTTTAGAACTAAATTGGCACAAATGCAAAAGATTTAGGACTTTTTTGGCACTTTTCCCGTTTGCCGGAGTAGCCTCTGCAAGAGACCGGGTCTCTCCTTGGGTGAAGCATCGGGCGTTGTCGATTCTTTCATTCTTCGGACATGTCGGAGGCCAACTTGAACGGCATCACAGACACGAACAAAGAACCTTTCCGGACCAATCATGTCAACCACTCCGGACTTTGATAAGATAAGGAAGACGTCCCGGTTCGGATTGGAAATGGCGATCTGCCACACCAAGAAATGTCTCAGATGCTTGGTGGCGATATGGCCAAAGGAACTTCCAGTGAGACTGACAAGAAAATGAACAAATAGTTCTCGGTAGAGATCAACAAACCTGAATGTCCCGTGATTTGTACTCTTGGTACAAGTCCTTTTAAAGCTTGAACAGCACTGGAATCAATATACGTGACAGCCGCAGTAAGAAATGAAGATGTGATTCTAAGATGGGGGTAGCCCAAGAACCACATTGCGGTGAAGCCAAAGGCTGCATCCCAGCATGAGTAAACAACAAATGACGTCATAAATCTGTTTCCATGAACTTTCAGCCGAGAATGATGCACAATTCCTTAAAAAGTCGGCATTTTTTGAGGTGAGGTTTGACAGGCCGAATTCTTCTGTACCCACCTACAGTTAAACCAGGCTATGAGGCCCGTTGCAGCATTACTTTGTGGGCCTGAGGACACGTGGAATTAATATTCCCCGGCCTGGAAGAAAATTTGCTCGGAAATAGACAGACGGCTCCATGCTAATACCAACTCGAACCAACGCAACGAGCCCGGGTGTTCTAAAAGCTGCACATTCGTTCTTTATCACACAGATTAGACAATCGATTCTGATAATATGATCATAATCTTTTTACATGGATCTATACTTTATTTGCTTGTTTCTATCTCGCCGGAGCGACTGTGTAGCAGGAGAGATGCCGTAGCATCCACCGGAAATGTAAACGAAGCGGCATTACCGCGATCATATTACTTCGGATGCTTCCTGAACAGGAGCGGGGGTCCGAGCCGATCCTGTCGCAAACCGATGTGCACGGAGTCGGCCAAATGGTCACGGTTCGTGCTATGGCCAATGATTCTTTGAACACGGCTATTCGTTTCGGTCCGTAAAATACTGCTCAGGCCAAGAAACAAGTCCCTCAGATATTCTGAAATTTCACCTTTCTAAACTTCGCTTGTATGTCCTAATCGGTCCCCGTGCCCCTCTCGACCCTTGAGGTAGTAGCCAAAAGAAATTTAAAAGTATATGTCTCTCCGGGTATAGAGCACGGGCGATCCAACCACATGAACAATTCTAATTATCGTCGTATAACCTAAAAATAGTTTCCAACATTTCAATTTACAACGAGGGGAGAGTTATCTTGGGTTAATATCGTGAAAAACTCTAAACTGGTCTGATAATTTTATCCCAAACTAATTTTTTAACTACCAAAATGTCTAAATTGGTACACTCATGATAAATTTACCAAAACTAATTGTTTGACCATCAAAAATCCAAAATTGATATATTTATGACAAATTTACCTTACGTTAGTTTCCGTGAAATTTGATTAATACTATGAAAAATCACAAATTGGTACATATGTGACAAACGGAGGGTAAAACTTCAAACTAGTACACTCATCAACTGCCACGAGTCATCCAACTAGGCAATTTGACAGTAAAATTTAATAGAAACTAACGGAGGGTAAATTTGTCATAAGTGTACCGATCTAGGGTTTTTGGTAGTTAAAAATTAGTTTAGAGTAAATTTATCATAATTATACCAGTTTGATATTTTTCGTGGTATTAACCTCTTTATTTTTAGCGTGTCTCTCCACTACTTTTTTTTTTTTTTAACGCTTGGTTTTAATCCCAGGCCAATATTGTTCAGCAAGTCTGTTTTCTTCCTAAATATAATTTCACACACATTAAATCTTTGTCCCTTCTTGTGGGAATAACATCGCTTTCCACAAATGCAATCTCGTGCGCCTCGATAGAATTAAAGAAACCAAATGCCATTCCCTGTGCAATTGCAGCTTATAAGTAGTGCCATTGGTTCTTAGGAAAAAATAACAAAATATTTCTCACGTCATAGGCACAAGATTAACAAGCTAATTTTTAAGCCACGAAAAATTAATTTAGGATAAATATGGCACAGGTATATATTTTACGACGTGAAAATTAATTCACGCTAGATGCCGCACGATTATACAGGTTTGAGATTTTTTTTTATAGTATTTAATCTCGAACTTTTTAATCAGATGGATCATTTTAAGCCGTTGTTATAATTTTTTTAATGTGAAAAACCACCCGTTTGGGCATTTTGTTGCTGAAGCCAGAGCCGCCGACACTTTCTTTTTCTTGAGGCCCATTACGAAGAAGATAAATACATATTCCGTTTTACAATTTTCACTTTCTAGATCTTGTGACTCGAGCAGCATTTCAATTAATCCAAAATGTACGAACGAAATGAATTTTAGATTCGGATAAAAGAATTTTTCTTTTCAAATTAACAAAAATAAAAGGTGATCATCTTTTCCGAATATAGTAGCTGGGGACCTTTTCGTGGGTGGCCGAAGCATTGCAACACTTAGATAATTTCAATTTTTAGCAAAAAAAAAACTCTGATAATTTTAATATGGTTTGTGCACACTCCGACAGAACAGTCCAAAGTACAGCTGCGCACGGCTCTCGCGCACTTTGTACGCGCGTGGTCCACCGTTGTCCTTCCTTTTCCGAGCCGCAAAAGAATGGTCGGGAAAAAAATCTAAAAACACGAATACAGCGCAATAAATTTCGGAAGAAGCAAAGGGCGCGGTTGAAAGCAAAGTTGCAAAGCCACACAATAGGCGACCCAGAGAAGCAAAATCAAGCAATGAACTCGAGTTGTCTTGGGATAAAGTGTGAATTAGAAGTGCACCCGGAACGTAATGGATCCGTCGATCTTTTTAACTTCGACGAAGCGAGTCATAGCTAAAGGTATAAAACATAATTCACGAATTAAACGTGATCTTTCACCTGTAAATAACTCCACGTTTTGAGCCGCCCACTCGAATTTCGGCACGGAAATTATAAGCCCATTTCACGAATTTTGGGTACACGTGTCCGGAAGATGGAGTTTCGGGCAATGCATTAACAAGCGCTAGAGTTAATTGGACGAAACTTTTTTCTTTTAAACTAATAAGAGAAGTGGAAGTGGGTGGATTATATGGATTGATAAATCAGCAAGGATCACTTGCCGTTGGCGTGATCACCACCTTGAGATTCCATTCTTTCCTTCTAAAACAAAGAAAAATCGCCGGCAACTAAGGACAAAAACTCAAAATATAAAAGGAAAAATGACATACTTTAATCTAACGTGCAACGTGATTTTTTAACTTTTAATTTATTCAATGCGGTCTTTAAAATTTTAAACTGTTCAATATAATCTCTGCACTTTAGGTACGTGTTCAATTTAATCCCTGTACTATATGAAAATGTTCGATGCCGTCCCTGAACTTGAATTAATAGAAGGACAACATTGAACATTTTCGCATGGTTTAGGAACTAAATTGAACGCGTGCAAGAAATTTAGGGATCACATGAAATAGTTTAAAAATTCATAGACCAACTTAAATTAATGAAAGAACAACATTGAATATCTTTACGTAATTTAAGAACTAAATTGAATACGTGTAAAAAATTCAGGGACTGCATTTAATAATTTAAAAATTCACGGACCAACTTAAATTAAGAGGAGAAACGTAGGTGGACGGGCAGGTCCAGCCCCCGCCCCACCCCCAACCGTTTCCAATTCAGACGCGCGCTCGATCGTCTCCGTCTCCTCCGTCTCCTCCGCCTGCGTCAGCATCGACCCGTACAGACAGGGACATTCCGAACGCTATCTGCTCTTTTTCAACACCTCCTCCCTCCCTGCCCCCCCTTTCAAACGCTCACATGTGATCTTCAGCTCCAACTCCAACTCCACCTCCAACTAACTCTCCACCGACGACGATCCATCCGCCGATCGGAGCCATGCCCCCGCCCGATTCGCCTCGCCGGCCGGTCCTCGGCCGCCTCGTCGTCGTCCTCCTCGCTCTCCTCCTCCCGCGGCCGAGCCTCGCGGGGGCGTCGGCGGGAGGCGGCGGCGGCGGGGAGCTCGCGTACCTCTGGCCGCTCCCGGCGGAGTACACCACCGGCGGCGACTCCCTCTCCGTCGATCCCGCCCTCGCGCTCGTCGTCGGCGGCAGCGGCGGGGGCTCCAGGATCGTGAAGGACGCGTTCGACCGGTACAAGAGCATCATCTTCCAGCACACCGGCGTCTTCTCCATCTTCAACGCCTTCCGGAAGCGCGCGTCCGGGTACGACATCGGGAGGCTGAGGATCGTGGTTAGCTCCGGGAATGAGGAGGTTCGTCCGGTTTGCGATGTGGTGGTTATATATATAAAAAAAAATTTTACTTACTTGATCGAGTCGGCGGAAATTGGGGCGCGCGCGCGATGTGAAGTTTGAGTTGTTGGTGAGCGTGCGCGTTTCTTTTTGCAGCTTCAACTCGGGGTGGATGAGAGCTATACCTTACTCGTGACGAAGAGTGATGGGAAGTCGATCATCGGAGAAGCGACGATTCAGGTAAGTGACCAAATTTGAGTATCAATTGTGGAGCATGACGAATTGAAAATAAACAAAGGTTTCAGCCAAGCCATCTTCACGTGTCCAATTCCATCCCGTGACAATCATATTGGACGGGGAGCTTAGATCAGGCGACTGTCTAGCTTGTACAGTCTAGCATAACTTTAACGGTCATGACAGGGGCATGAGCACACAGACATGTTTTTGCACGAGAGCATGACACATTCATGTGGTAATATAGGCGTTTCCGTTTTCTGCAGGCAAATACTGTTTATGGTGCATTACGGGGGTTGGAGGTATGTGCAAATGTTTTTAATCTCTCTCTTCATGTATTGACATATTTTAAATGTGGTATTGCATTGCTATGATAGTTAAATTTGGTTTGCTAATGGTGGTAAGGTGCTGGAGGAATGTTTCCTTTTCTTTTCCCCCTTTACCTTTTCGAGCTAGATATGTGCATCGTGATAACAGTTGTTATACTGAGAAAATTATATCCGCATGTGATCTTAGAAATTGTCAAACAGTTACAAGCATTGACTTTGTGATGGGCAGCATCCTACCTCATTTATAAAACATGGGAATCTTGTGTTTGGCAGAAGCTTATGGATTAGAAAAAACAGAAGGTACTCATCAAGCCAACTGTAAGCTTGTATTGGGTACTACATTCTATGCTGCAAACTCGCAATTCTCATCCACCATCACCCATTTCTGTGTCAGACGCATTTTAAGAATATATCTTCTTTGTATTTATCGTTCAGTAGTATTTCGGTCATATTTTGAAGGTGTAATCTCTGTATAAGGTTGATCCTCAAGCTGCAGTTTCTTGGATATGTGAGGCTTCTTTCTCAAACATTCTTTTACGTTGTTTCAGACATTCAGCCAATTATGCATTTTTGATTATAGTACAAAGTTGGTACTTGTGCACAAGGCTCCATGGTATATCCGAGATGAACCAAGGTTTGCATATCGTGGACTACTACTTGGTAAGAGCAACGATCCTATTAATTGAACATGTTGAACAGTGAACATCCTTTAACATTATGTGATGTTTGTTTTATTGGTGGCATGGCATCTTCTATAACAGATACATCGAGGCACTACTATCCCATCGACGTAATTAAGCATGTACTGGATTCCATGTCATTTGCTAAACTTGTAAGATATGACAACTCGCAATTCCTTCTTGCTCTTATTCTCAGTGCACTTTTCCTGAAACACTATACTGATCACTATTCTATGTTTTGCTCGTTTAATTCCAATGACTGTGTTCCTCCCATGGGAATTACATTCTGTAGAATGTCCTTCATTGGCACATAATAGACGAACAGTCATTTCCTCTAGAAGTGCCTACCTATCCTAAGTTGTGGCAAGGGGCTTATACAAAATGGGAGCGATATACAGTTGAGGATGCATATGAAATAGTGAAGTAAGATATCCATTGCTTGTCCCATGATGAGCAAATTCTTCTCCTTTTTGCGATTGAATTGTATACTTTTTTATATGCTCTACTTGAGAATGCTTTGGATGTCTCAGTTGGGTTTATGTTGGTCAATATGAGATATTAGCATGAATATGTGAAATCATCTCTTGGATGTAAGAAGTTGATTTTCTTCGATGACTGTTCCTTTTCCTTTCAGTATGGTAATTTTCTCTTGGAGACCCATTTTTTGTTCCCAAGATGAAGCATACCAGATATTGACTGAGAGAATGGTATAGAGAGTCTTATGGATGGAGAATTCGTTGTATATGTTAAAACTATAGCAAAGCTTTTACCAGTCAGAATCTATGTAAAGTAATTTAATTGCTAGAGGTAATCTGACAAGAAGTGCATATGCAATTATAGACTGCCTAACGGATCAACAAATAATATATGTTCTCCCGTCCATACTGCCACTTAATTGATATTATGGTTTATGTCATCACATATTTTGAGTTCATGGATCTGGCACCCGGCAATGTACTAACGTCGTCCTTTTGTTTTCATGCTGGCTTTCACCATATGAAGCTTTGCCAAAAGCAGAGGTATGTTCTCACGTTTGTTTCTTTGTTGATGTTTTGATGAATGCGTTCTCACGTATTTCATTGCAATTATAGTTTATAAATTTGATATAAGTCTATTGAACTTATTTGCTTGTGTCAACTGCTGCAATGAACTTGCATAAATCTGGTAGGCCTTGGAGCTACTTTAGTACATATATGAGTGTTTTTTATAATTATGACAGAGTTACTTTTATTATCACTGCTAGTACAATTGTAGTATTTGCTGATCTTCTTTCTTAACTGATTTTAGGAATCCATGTGATGGCTGAAGTAGATGTCCCTGGTCATGCAGAATCATGGTAAGCCGCTTCCTTGTGGGAGATTTTGCAGCCTGTGATGAGACTACGTGGACATTTTTAGGTTGTACATCCTAAACAAGCTACCATAAATTTCTGATCTTCTTTAATGCAGGGGAAAAGGGTATCCTGAATTGTGGCCTTCTTCATCGTGTAGAGAGCCACTTGATGTTTCCCAAAGTTCTACTTTTGACTTAATCTCTGGCCTGTTATCAGGTTGGGCATCCAGTATCTTTATCTACAGAGCTAAATCTTCCATTTTGCCTCCTTGTTGCTGCTGTTGATGTACGGATTATCTATACATCTACTGTAATATAGATGTTCAAGTTTCATGAGTTCCTGAAGGAAGAAAGCCATGTCGACTTGAGTAATAATATGCAAGAAACTTTTGTAGCATAGAGCTTTGCTCTTAAAAAGTCTCTGCATGGACAAGGCCCTACTTGAGTAGGAAAGGAATTGTTGTCACTAGTAAATGCCTGAGATGTTAGGGTATCTACTGAAACTTCATTTTTCTCATTCATTTGGGGTAGGAAGGGGGCTTGTTTGACAAGTCTTTGACACCTGATTGACTTAAGTAGCCATTGGCTTGTTCTTAATATTTAAAGGGCTACGTGCATTGGAAGTCCTAAAATTTGTAGCGAAAGTGCAATTGAGTCCTAAAACTTTCACAAAGTGCACTCAAGTCCTAAAACTTGTCAAACTGGTCAAATCAAGTCCTTCCGTTGATTGCACTATTTGAAAGTTTTAGGACTCGATTGCACTTTCGTGACTAGTTTTAGGACTCAATTGCACTTTCGTAACAAGTTTTAGGGCTCAATTGCACTTTTTGAAAGTTTTAGGACTCTATTGTACTTTCGTGACAAGTTTTAGGACTTCCAGTGTACTTATCCCATATTCAAAATATTAAATTATGAAAGTTCATGCTTTACTCTGAGAGCTAGAATGCATAAGCTTTGGTAAATTCCTGATATCCTATGCGCCTCTTAGATCTAACGCAAATCTGATCATTGCAGATATGAGAAAAATTTTCCCCTTTGAGCTATTTCACTTGGGTGGTGATGAGGTTAACACAGGTTAGTGCAATTGACCTTGGCATCTCTCTTTTCTTTGCAGTCATTTGTTCTTTAGCAACTAAATGATCAGTAGACCTCTTCTACGTTACAACTGTAGAAGTACTTTGCAAAAGTTGACATAGGAATGTAACGGGGGCTCTTGTTTCTGTAACTATCTCTACTCTGTGCATATGGGTTTTCCTTCAGTTTCTTTAGAGTGCTAACTTTTTCTGGGTAAACTGTGGGAAATATCCTCATTTCCATCCTATGTCATTGGTGTTAGCGCATGGGAAACAAAATGAAGAAGCGGAAGGCTTTAATAAGGAAAATATCTGCTACTTAGTATATGCTTAGTCCCATACTTAAAAGAACTGAAAAATCTGAATTTCAGACACCAATATCCAATTTTTCACCATTAAATCTTCTCCTATTTTTTGGAACAATAAATTTCAAAAAATTCATGAATCGTAAGCTTAGAGACTTCTCATCTCTACATGTTAGAACTATGTAGATCCTACACTGAGCGGCTGCACCTACAAGAATATTGAGTGCAGATATCAGAGAACTGAACTTTCTACTTCTGTAAGGACGAAGCATTTGTAAAATAATACCAACTGGTCATCCGCTGTATACTGTTAAAGGATCATGTAGACATTATTTGAGTTGCATATATCTGATGCCCATAATATTACCAAATATAAAGAATTTAATTTAATGGGTGACTACATCTACTTGTGAAATAGCAGCATTCTGGAATTTGAGACAGTAGGTTTTCCTGTTTCTCTGGATTTAAGTTTTATGATCTCAAACCATTTAAGTTATTATCGTTATCTGTATTTCTTTGCAGATTGTTGGACATCCACTCCACATGTGAAGCAGTGGTATATGAACAACCGCTTTACTTGAGATTTATCCTACTTTCAAGAAGTTTGGCCAGGGAAATTGCAATTATTTTCTATGTTATCATAAACAAAGCCGTCTCTTCAACCAACTTATTAATGTTACTGTGGTCTTAGATTTTTGCCAAAGCTATTACAGCAGATTTATTTATTTTATCAAGTTATGATTACAGGAAAGCCTTTCTGTTTATGTAGTACTTAGTTTTCATTGATGTAGGCTGGGTTAGTGCCTTGACTAAAATATCTTCCAGCTTACCTAGAAAACCATGCCAAATTTACAAATGTGCTTTAGAAATTAGATTTTAGAAGATTTGAATGGAGTTATGAAGTATTTCCATTATTAGGATCCTCAAGAAGAGAGAAGGATAGTGGGGCATTAACAACGTGACATTTTTAATTAGATCTCTTCGGATAACTGCTGAAGTCTGGAAGCAATTTTCACTGTTCTATCTTTTCTGGTATTGAATCAAACCATCTATTTTCAGAGATGCAATTTTTCTGTAAATGATTTTCCTTGAAATTGTGTGAATTTAGCACTAGCTTGTTTCTCTGTGGTATGCCTCCCACCTGGCGCCCCCCCTCTCTCCCCTCCTCTTAATGCAGTCTACCAATTCTTGCTTCTAGCAACTCATGTCAGATGCTGAACATGAGGGTAATTTTAAATGCAGGCTGCAAAATCATAATATGACTGGCAAAGATGCGTACAAGTATTTTGTAGTCAGAGCACAAGAAATTGCCATTTCAAAAAATTGGACCCCTGTCAACTGGTATGTATATGTACTACCACCTGCTGGAGGCAGTTGGTTCTCACATTGTTTATGATTTATAATAATTGAGCATGTTATTCTCCTTCTCTTTGCCAATTTTCCTAATTTACATTGACTCTCTGCACCAATATGACAGAACCTACTGTTGAAGAGGCACATCTCAACACCGGTTTCTGCATCATTTTGAGACACAGATTTCAATGGAATTGTCCTCTTGATGAGATGACATGTTGATGTTGTTGAATGTTAAGGAATATCACTTCTGAGATGACATGTTTAGCATGTTCACTTTGTTGTGCTGTAGAAATAAAATGACAACTTTTCGATCAAGAACTTCTGGTAATGTCAGCACATGGACACTTGTACTGTAGTGTTCTTTATAGTGCTGCATGGAAGAATGCTTTTCAGACCTCTGTAGCATGTCTATAGAAAAATGAAAATAATACTCAAACTAGAAGTTATGTCATTAATATCATTGTCTTTGCTTATAGAATAGGACTTTCTTAACACGCCCTTAAATTTGGGCCAACCATTTTGAAAGATTTTGCCAGATTCACTGCTAAAATGATGTGGGAACTAGATTACAGTTATAAATGGGTTATGGCCTGGAGATCTGGTTGACTAACTTCTACCTGCTCGAATTTTCTAGATAGTAAGTGGTTAATATCAGGCTTCTGGCCCTAGGTTTCCAAGGTAGAGAAGGTTTTTGGAAAACAACATCGTGAAAGAGCATGACTGAAGGACTCCTAGGTAGTTAGAAAATGAAACCGTGGGCTAATAGAAATTATGTTTGTTGCAATCGGTATTCAAGACAGTAATTTTTTATTTTGCATTGTATATTTTTTTATAACATTAGAGAGTATGACATCGATTTACAATTGCTTCAGGGAGGAAACATTCAATGCATTTCCCCAGAGCCTTAGTCCAAAGACGATAGTACATAACTGGTAAGTTTAGATCAGTATTTAATTCATGCTGATTGCAAGCTAATTAATTTATCACACTTTAGGCTGGGATCTGGTGTATGTCCAAAGGCTGTCGCAAAGGGCTTTAAATGCATTTTCAGCAATCAAGGTTTTTGGTATCTAGATCATTTAGATGTGCCATGGGATCAAGTCTACACTGCAGAGCCCCTCGAAGGAATAAGTGATGCTTCCAAACAAAAACTTGTGATTGGCGGTGAAGTTTGCATGTGGGGAGAGATAGCCGACACTTCTAATGTCCAGCAAACAATATGGCCTAGAGCTGCTGCTGCTGCAGGTAAGCCAGTCTCTGGGCATCGTCCTATACTGAAGCATTGAGTCTTATTCTTCTCGGCTCTCATCGTTCTTTGTCCATTTAGAGTTTCATTTTTTTTTTAAATTCTCTGGAAAATCCCTTCGGCAAAGTTATATCTGCATCCCTTTGCTTATAAAACCTATTATTTTCGTCTAATAACCGGTAAAGCAGTTTTTCTACTAAATAAAACTTTTCGTTCACAAAAAAGGGCCAATATGGGGGTTGTTGGTTTATCACCATTTATCCTTAAAGCCGTTTTAGGCCTCCTCCATTTATTACATGGAAAATAAATGATTTGAAAAATATTTTCCTAAAAATGATCGCTTATATAGTCCATGGAAAATGGTTTTATTATCGGCAACAATTTATATCTAAACATTTTCGTGAACGATGAAAATATTTTTTGTTCATTCATTTTTGTAAGCGATACAATGGATCATTTTTAAGAAAATGTTCTCCGAATCGTTCATTTTCCGCGAAACAAATGGAGTCTAAATGAAATTTTTGTTTCATTCTGCGGGCTTCTTCCCAATTCTATGGGAAGTGGATTCATTGCCTCACAGACCACATGGAGTAAATTTATGTTCTCCTTTATGTGCAATCTCTCTCTCTCTTTGGAGAAGGTGTATAGTCCTTTGTTTTTGGTGAACAGATATATATTGGAAATCAGTTTTTTAAGTGATTGATACGGAGATGGAACATAAAAACACCTTTTGGCATGTGAAATGGCTCTTCTAGGGCATGGAAGTCCTCATTGCCTTTGATCTCCGCAAACCTCAATTAGCCAGTTCATACCATTTTACTCCTTTTCCATAGATGGATCATGTATGTGCAAATTCTCCTAAAAGATCATAGTAGCCCCGGATCGGTAGTTTTTCTTGTCTTAGCTTTCTATTCTTGGCGTGGTTAGGAGAGCTTGAGTGCTTAATACTAGTTATAGACAGACTGCTTCTTGCTAATACAAAAGTGTACCAATGCAATGAGCCCAGGCGTACTAAAAGCCGCGCATTCCTTCTTTATGACACAGATTAGAAAATCGATATTGATGGTATATTCATAATCTTTTTGCATTGATCCGTATTTATTTGCTTGTTTCTATTTTGCAGAGCGATTGTGGAGTAGGAGAGATGCCACATCCACCGGAGATGTAAATAAAACGGCTTTACCACGACTACATTATTTCAGATGCATCCTGAATGGGCGGGGGGTTCAAGCCGCTCCTGTCACAAACCAATACGCACGGAGTCAGCCGAAGGGTCCCGGTTCATGCTATGACCAATGATTCTTCGAACGCCGCTATTTGCTTCAATATGTAAAATGCTGCTATGTAACTTTCGCTGGGAAATAAGTTCATGAGATATTTAGAATTATATCCTTTCCAGACTTTGCTCGCGAATCTAAATGTGTGTCTCTCTGGGTATAGAACATAGATGATCTGACCATATGAGCTTTGTAAATGCATGCGGGGCGATTCCAGGCTCTCACTTCTCGTGCCCATAAACGGATTCGAATTCTTAGCCCAATTTGTTCAAAACAGCTGATTTTGGTTAGATCATCCAACGCTTACTAAATGTGGTGAAAAGTTATTTACATAAAAATAATCTGTCATATCTAAAGTCATTTCAATACATATAAAAGTTGCTTTGAGTTACTGATTGTGTATGAAATTATGAGCAAGATGAATAAGCTACTCATCACAAAAAAATTGTTGCGGTTCTGGATTGAAAATTATTAAGTACATGGGAATATTAGTAGCAGAATTTGTCACATACTATTCTTACGTTGAAAATTGCTATCAACTGAGAATTTACTAATTATAAATAGGTAAAAAATATTTCCCCTAATTCAAAGTTATTATTACTCGCGAAAATAACTAGTTATTGATAATCACGTTCTTTATTTTTTATGTAAAAGATAAATTAACTGTGGATAGGTAAAAAAATCGAGTGGCTTCTCTGTGGCCCCATGGTCACTTTGCAACGCCATCATTCACTCCACCCTTAGGCCTGTCTCTCTCCCTCCGCGATGTTGCCAACCTCAGATGACCATAGATTTGGGGTCGCCGGAGGTCGGGCAGCTATTCGCCGTGGTCGCAACCTCTATGGTTGCAAAGATTGCGACCACCATAAGCTCCCTATGTGCTTTATGGGGAGATATATATTCATGGTGCAAGTAGGTTTTTGGGTAAATTTTGCGAAAAAAAAATTTGATGCATTTTGCTCATTCTAAGATAAAAAAAAAAAAAAGATAACAGAAGGTGCTCAATTATGTGATTTCATAGTATCACGTTATAAGCAAACTAAAGTGATGATCAAGCGGTTGTCTTATGACACACTTTTTTAGCGATAATGCTATATATATCGAGATTGATATACAAAATTGGCATGCTAACTATTTTAAGATACTATAAGTGGGTCGTTAAATAAGTGGACCGTATACAACACGTAACTATAAATTGCCTCATCATTTAATATGCGCAATTTCATAAAATCAATCCTAATATTATAATTTTACTATTTCTCTACTTGATCAAACTAAAAACAGAACATACAAAAATAACTTACTTAAACAATACAGATTTGTTGACGCCGGGGAGTAGTCTACGTAATAAACACATTTCAAGAAATTGTCAAAATGGAAATTATGATAAACGGCGATCTTTGCTTCAACACGGACATTATTTCTCTAATCTGCTCTCTACAACATCGACGAGACGAGAGGCTCAACTGGGACGGAGAGTTCTTATATGCTGCCGCTATGCAAGGTGGACCGAGTGCGGAGTGCCTGCCCCAGATATCCATGCGAACTGTTGAACCAGGCATGCATGTTCATGCTAAACAATACCTTCATCCAGCCGTTCCGCGCTGTTCACATCCTCAACCGCCGTCGGAAGAACAAGGCACAAGAGGAAGGGCAAGCACGACAAGCCACAACACAGCCAACACGCCCACACGAGGCCGGGCGGAAGAAAAGAGCTCACCAGCCCGAAGAAGGCCACTAAGACGGACACCACTCCGAAACACTCCAACGCGATCGCAAAGCGGGGGCACATCCCACGCAGCAGCATGCCGTTCCACGTGCTGGTGAACCCGATGGAGAGCGCGAGTACTACCGCGCTGGCTTGCAGGTGGGTCAACCCATGGTACTGGTTGAATAGGAGCCCCGTGGTCATGGGAACTGCGAACTCCAGCACCACCTTCCCCAGCTCCTGTCTCTGGAACAGTTTTGCTATCGGGTGAACCGAGGCGGGCTGGGACGAGTCGAACGTTCTAGCCTGAGAACTTCCAGCAGGCGTTGTGCTTCTGGTACCGTGCGCATGCAACGTGCTAATGGCTCCATCACCGATTGGCAGTGAGACATCTACTACGACGGAGATGGAATCGTCCCCCGCCGGGCAGCGTGTTGGGCTACCGCCACCGGGTGAAGCGGAAGCGGTGGTGTGGTTTGGAATCTGGTTGTTGCATGATGATGCAAGCCATGGAATATGGGAAGCGAGGTTGGGGAAGAATGAGATGAGCCATGAACGAGTCGCCGAAGTCCAGTGAGCGGCCATTTCTCGTTAGGACATGCACCTCTGAACAGAAGATCTGCTATTTATAACGAAGGAAATGATTCGCAACCTCGTCGATCTGGTTTGCCCATACATTGTTGACTAGCAGTCTCGGGCAAAATTCCTGATCACGGAAAGGACAGCATCGATCAGTTGCCCGGTATTACTTTTGCAAAAAAGTTGCGAGAGAGTAAAACCAGACAAAACTCTCTAACTCAGAGTGCAAAAAAGTTGCGAGAGAGTAAAACCAGACAAAACTCCCTCGCGATTGCAAAAAAGTTGCGAGAGAATAAAACCAGACAAAACTCTCTCGCGGATTGCAAAAAAGTTGCGAGAGAATAAAACCAGACAAAACTCTCTCGCGATTGCAAAAAAAGTTGCGAGAGAATAAAACCAGACAAAACTCTGTCGCGATTGCAAAAAAGTTGCGAGAGAATAAAACCAGACAAAATTCTCTCGCAACTTTTTTGCAAAAGTAATACCGGGCAACTGATCAATGCTGTCCTTTCCGTGATCAGGACTTTTGCCCGAGACTGCTAGTCAACAATGTATGCGCAAACCAGATCGACGAGTTCCATTTTGCCGAGAGAAAAAAGTGCTTTTAACTTGTGATCCTGCGAAAAAATTAGAGTTAATACTATCAAATATCATAAACCGACGCATCCGTATCATATTTATTTTAAACTAATTTTCGTATAATAGAAAATCTCATACCTGAACACACGTGTCATATTTATCATATATTAATTTTCATGTCACAAAAAATCATAAATCGGTACACCGTAACAAATCTATCAAAATCTTAAGGCAAAATTAGGGATTTTAGCAGTTTTTGAAACATGAGGGAGTTCTTAGGGAGAAAATAGCAGATTTGGGCATATTTTCTAATCTCGGTTCATTTTTTTTTTAAATCTAATTTCGCCAAAATAACGTTGTTCAGGAGACCTATTTATGCTAAATTTCCACGTCGCATGCCAATTATCAGTGTTGCTTTCCACGTGTGTTGCACATTAGCAATTTAACGGGATATTGGATGGAAGTTAACGGATAATAATTTTGTCACGGGTATATTGGTTTGAGATTTTTTGTGACGTGGAATTATTGCGGCAAATGTGGCACAGGCATGGAACTCCCCGTTGCCTTCGATTGTGTTTCCCCAACTCCGCAAACCTCAGTTTGCCAGATCATGCCTTATCTTCTCCTTTTCCAATGATGTGTCTTGCATGTGCAAAGCCTCCTCAAAAATCATTGTAGCCCCGGAATGGAAGTTTTCTCTCGTTCAAGTGGTCCCGGTTTCAAACCAATATGCACGGACTCACCAAATGGTCCGGGTTTCATGCTATGACCAATGTTTCTTCGAACGTTGCTGTTTGGTTCAATCCGTAAAATGCTGCTATCAACTGGGAAATAAGTTCATGAGATATTTAGAAGGATATCCGTTCCACACTTTGCTTGCGTATGTTGTAATCAGTGTGTGTGCTGCACTTTTAATGTAGCCAAAACAAATCTTAGTGTGTCTCTAGGTGTAGAGCATGGATGATCTGACCACATGAGCTTTGGGGAACGCATGCAGGACGATTCCAGGCTCGTGCATCTCGTGCCCATTAACGGATACGAATTCTTAGCCCAATTTATAGAAAATAGCTGATTTTAGTTTTTTTTTTGGGTCGGATAGCTTATCTTATTTGAATGATTAGAATGCTTACTTTCATATAAAAGTTATTTACATACAAATAATCATTTGTATTGTAAGTTACCTCAATATATATAGAAGTTGATTGATGTTACCGATTGTGTATGAAATTACCAACGAGATGAATAATTTACTCACCACAAAAATTGTTACTGTTCTGAATTGAAAATTGTTAATTAGACGGGGGTATTATTAGTAAAAATGGTCACGCATGCTATGTTTTATGTCGAAAATTGCTATCAACTGATTATTCACTAACTCTGAATAGGTAAAAGAAGATTTCTCCTAATTTAAAGTCATCATTACTCACGAGTTATTGGTAATTACATGCTTTTTCCATGAAAAAAATAAATCGACCACGAAATCACGTATTAAATAGCACACACTTCTCTCAAAAAAAAAAAAAAATAGCACACACTTGATGAGTTATTAATCTTTTATTAAAAATGATTATGAGTCTGACAGTCCACCGTGCCCGATTAAATCTACTCAATCGAAAGGCTAAAATGGGCACGCTTGGACAAGCAATTCCCTTCTTAAGCCCAAAATGCCCACGTTGGCTCTCTCAGGCTTGGTCATGTTTTATATAGAGAATTTAATGACTTTTTTTCATCCCAAGCGGCCGCACAAAAACTTTTAGATCCGGTGCTAGGCCTTAACGGATCAATTCTATCACTTATACGTTGAAGGGCACGTAGTTTTAACAAAAACCTCAAGTCTTACCGATCAATTAATGACTTACTCCTTAAATATTGAGGGTACTTATTCACTTTAGTTGTCTAATTTTGCAAATGCATCGAGTATTATGAATGCTCGAAACTTAGGAAGGAGACCAAAACAGACATTGATCCTTCTTCACATCTTGGGCCAACACGAATCTTGGCCTGTGGATTACTTGGGCCTAAGTGCTTGGGAATGCCACAACCCATATAAAGCCCAGTGACGAGGTTAAAATTGTCAATCTGCTGCCATAAAAATGAACGTTTTATCTTCTTCGCAGGGACGCTGCAAGCCGCGGTGGTGTCTGAGCGAAACTCACTCGCAGGTCCATCTCTTTGCGCATCTTTATCGTCCTTCGTCTCTGTTCCGTCCTTTCCTCATCAATTGAATCTTTGTGCGTACTTGGTCACCGATGCTT